TAATAACGGAAGGGTGCGGTGAACACAATCAATGAGTCGAAAAGGCTAGAGGAGGGGAAACACGAAGGCAAAAAGTGGAGAGAGAGAGAGAGAGAGAGAGAGAGAGAGAGAGAGAGAGAGAGAGAGAGAGAGAGAGAGAGAGAGAGAGAGAGAGGGGGGGTATCATATGCATGGAGGTAAGGAATATAATAACGGAAGGGTGCGGTGAACACAATCAATGAGTCGAAAAGGCTAGAGGAGGGGAAACACGAAGGCAAAAAGTCGAGAGAGAGAGAGAGAGAGAGAGAGAGAGAGAGAGAGAGAGAGAGAGAGAGAGAGAGAGAGAGAGAGAGAGAGAGAACTAGTACGTGGAGGTAAGGAGTATAACAGAAAGGCAGGGCCAAAGGGAGGGTGTTGCAGGAACATAAGGGATGAATAGTACGTTACGTTGTAAATTTTAGGTCCTTAAAGTGGGGCTCGTCGATGTTAAGGCCAGTGAGAATTTTGTGAGACCCCAAGTTCCAAATCCACATTGATTCTCTTTGGTTAAGTTTTTCTTTAGTAGGATATTGGACTATTTCAATTCCCTGAAGCTGCAAATCGGAGGTACCATTGTGACCAGGACTGTTGAAATGTTGGCCAACTGGTATGCTGGAGTTTTTCTGGACTGAATACCTATGGTTATTAAACCTAGCTCTTAGTGTGGTGATAGTTTGACCTACATATTTTATCATCATCATCATCATCATCATCATCATCATCATCATCATCATCATCATCATCATCATCATCATCATCATCATCATCATCATCATCATCATCATCATCATCATCATCATCATCATGTTTTAAATAGAAACAAAATATACTTGAGACTTGAATAGGGTTGGTGTCGTTTAATCAGATGTTCGTATAGGCCTGGATGTTCAACGTTTCGCCAATAAGGCTTTATCAGGAACATAGCATCTGAGAAAAAAAAATGAGTGATGACGCCATAGCAACAAAGCGTTCACTACAAGTTACGTATTGGTGAGATTTGGACAATATCGGAAAGAGCCGAAGCTCTGAAAAAGAAAAGCTAAGTCGTTACTGCCATGGTCCTGGCTGAGCGTATAGATACGTTAAAATTGACCACACATCATCATCATCATCATCATCATCATCATCATCATCATCATCATCATCATCACCGACTACACAATTCCACTTTTTCTCGTTGTGTTTTTCATGTCTATACATTTTTACGTAACGTAAAAAATATAGGCACCAAAATCAGGACACGGGCCACACAAAAAAAAGACAAAAAAGACAGCCACCTGTGTAAGATAGCCAGTTTTCTCCTCGACGTCTTGGATAATTCCAACTATAATTAATAATAATCAAACTGACTCGCAGTGACTTGGTAAACTAATAAAAACAAAACTATTCCATTTTGAAATTTGAAATAAACCGTTTTTTGGCCCAGACAGAAGCAACAGATCTAATATTTTATCTCACAAAATGCCTCGTGAGTGACATAATGCTGAAGTATCAGTTCGCGTCTCACTTTTGAGAGCTTGGGTATTTCAACATACAGATTTCAGCCAATTTTCTCCAGCTTTGGACCACAAGATACAGACTTCAACATAAGTTAAGGACCACTTTGACAGACTGCACTGATTTTTTAAAAATCCGAAAAAAGACAGCAAGGAATGTTTCAAAACTTTTTTGCTCTGAAAGTGAAAGTGTTAATGGGTTACCAAAGCGTACTGAAAAGCTTCCTGAAGGGGCAAAACCACCACGTGCAGCCCGGAAATCGTCGGGGAATTTTAGCCAAATTTGCTGTTTTTTGTTGACTTGTGTGCGACACCTCGGACATTCCTCAGTTAAAATTTCTGGTGCACGTCGTAAACGGACGTACGGTCTCGAACTGTGCTCACTTTGGTGGCAATATAAGCCGCCGTTTGCGCAAAACCTAGATCTAGTATCGCATCAATATGCAACCAAGACGAAAGCGGAGAGACTTTGATCGTGCCAGAGCTATGGCATGGCTGCAGAATGGAGTTGTAGCCCGAGAAGTTGCCAGAAGGCTTCAGTGTCACACTGTCATTGTCCGCCTGAGGCAGCGCCATCAAGCCACTGGATCAGTCCAAGAACGCCCTCGTGCAGGTCGACCAAAGGAGAATACTAAGAGTGTTTGCAGTTGGTCCTTAACTTATGTTGAAGTCTGTATATGTGTTCTGAAACGTTTCTTTCGACTTGCGACATGTCCACGCTTGTCTGATCCAAAGTGTGTCGATGGAGACGTAAAACACACTTGTGCTCGTGCCTAGAGAAATGTCCCAGTTATCGGCAAAGCTACTTTTGAGCAACAGGTGAAAAGACAAAATAAGTCGTAAGTTCTACTTGATCGAAATTTTAGTTTCATCACAAACACACGTTTTAACTTTTTCTAAATAACATACTGAAAGGATATATAATATCTTAAGATCCTGTAAGTATGTTAGTGTTTTAGCGCCTATAAATGACCGCGTGCACTATGCTTCCCACGAAGTTGAGGTTGTTTCAGAATGCTCTCAGGTCTACTGGGGTAATACTTATAGTGTAGATTGTGAAGCGCATAGAGCTTGCTGTTGAGCTATACAAATGCTATCTATTATTATAATTATTATTATGTCTAAGTATTTTAAAATCAGATAATGTTGCATTATGTTGTACTTCAACAGGTTAAAATTGTGCGAGAATTCTCTCTAAAACCACTCTAGATATTTGGAAATGTTAAAAAATCAGCGTGTTTATCGTTGAATTTGCTTTAAGAATATTATGGCCTTATTTCAATATCCACATGTTCCGGACCTTTCTCCAAGCATACACACAGTGGGTGGTTGGCAGGTGCTCTGGTGTGATTTGCTGCTTTTTTCCTATCGAACATCTATCGTCCTTATCTCCCCTTCATTTTTAAAAATGTTTGTTACTCTCTTGTAACACCTCTAATCTTCTGGCGCTCATGTGACCTTATGCAGTTGCGAGCGCGGTAAAACCTCTACTACTCGTAAAACTAAAAACTAAAAGCATACACACACCCATACAGAAGTCTTGCTCCGTTAGTAGTGTTAGGTCAGTTGGCATCATGCTGGATGGCTCTGGTTCGTATCCAAGATAAGGCGTTGTTGAATTTGGGTCGTTTTGTCGAGTTGTCAGGTCCTCTACCTACCCATGTGGCTCGGTCCTATCAGACACAGACGATAAATTCAGAGGTCCAGCCTCGTTAATGACGTAATGGTGTTTATAAGGGTGATAAACTCAAACTCATACACTTGTTCTTTTTATATCAAAGTGATAGTAGCAGGAAGAAAAAGACATCTTTTTTTGTGAAAGCGGTTTGTTCCGGGGTTTTTTTCAGATCCGAAAGCTGGACCGTCGACTGGATATCTTGACTAATGAAGTGCGGAAGCTGAAGAAAGATTCTGGGGTGAGCGCCTGTGCAGAATAGCATCTACAGTGCGATCCCTTTTTGCTGAATAATGAGCGCCCCCCTATCTATCTATCTATCTATCTATCTATCTATCTATCTATCTATCTATCTATCTATCTATCCATCTCTCATACATATTCTGTATATGTGTGTTCATTTGTTTGTTTGTGTGTGTGTATGCGTGTGTGTCTCTGTGTGTGCATGTGTGTATCTCTGTGTGTGTGTGTGTGTGTGTGTGTGTGTGTGTGTGTGTGTGTGTGTGTGTGTGTGTGTGTGTGTGTGTGTGTGAGTGATTCGGTGTGTGTAAAAGTGTATGTATCAGTGTCTTTGTTAATGTGTGTCCATTATTAAGCGTTTTTCAGTGTGCGTGCGTGTGTGTGTCTGTATGTGGGCATGTGCTAGTGCGTCTATATGTGTCTGCATGTGTGTGCAAGCGAGTGTGTTTTATATACATATATTGCGGAAAGGGTGGGTGCGTGTGTGGGTCTGTCTGTGTGAGTGTATATATATATATATATATATATATATATATATATTCATGTGTGGATATGCGTGTCCCAAAAAAACCCAACCCATCCCAAAAGTAAGAAATTACAATCGTAACGGAGAACAAACAATTTAGCGATAACGTTATATAAGTCTCTTTTGCAAATTTTGATAATAACATGACTAAAACACTTTTGGTTATGACATAATCATCCTGATTGATTTCTTTCAGAACGGAGAGGACGAGTTCTCAGAGCTACCCCTCCCAGTGACCCCATTGTCCGCACGACGGGAGGAGACGGAGGAGGGCGTGGTCTACACTGTCAGATATGTCCGTCAGAGGGGGGTGCGAGAGAGCATAATGTGGGAAAACGATGATGAGCCGGACGGATTTTCAAGGGGTGAGTTATAATCAAAGAGGTTATACTACAGATTTCAACAGAAGTTAAGGACCACTTGCAAACACTCTGAGTGGTCTTCTGGGTCGACCTGCACGTCGGCGTTCTTGGACTGATCAAGTGGCTTGATGGCGCTGCCTCAGGCGGACAATAACAAAGTGTGACACTGCAAGCCTTTTGGCAACTTCTCGGGCCCAAACTCCATCCTGTAGCCATGCCATAGCTCTGGCACGATCAAAATCTCCCAGCTTTCGTCCTGGTGGTATGTTGATGCGATACTGGACTTTGCGCTAACGGTGGCTTATATTGCCACCAAAGTGAGCACAGTTCGAGACCGTACGTCCATTGATGACGTGCACCAGAAATTTTAACAGAGGAATGTCTGTGGTGTCGCACACAAGTCGATAAAAAGCAGCAAATTTGGCTAAAATGTCTGTGCTGCACGTGGTGGTTTTGCCCCTACAAGAAGCTTTGCAGTACGCATTGGTAACCCATTAACACTTTCAGAGCAAAACAGTTTGAATCATTCCTTGCTGTCTTATTTTCAGATTTTTAAAAAAATCAGGACTGTCTATCAAGGAGGTCCTTAACTTATTTTGAAGTGTGTATTTATGTAACACTCACTCGTCTGTTGAACTGCGCATGTCTTACCCTTGATGTTCAGGGTCCCAGGGTGGGCACACGCAGCCCCCGTTCGTTTACGTGGGGGACATCACTGCCAAGAACTCTAGTATGAAATATAACCTCTTTTGTGATAACTGCTAATTATACACCACTATGTATTGTTTGAATGAGTACCGCAGTTTATACACCACTAAATATTATTTCAGTGAGTACCGCAGTTTACGCGTCACCATATATCATTTGAGTGAGTTCCGCAGGCTATACACCACTAAATATTATTTGAGTGGGTACCAAATGTTATACACCACTAAACATTATTTGAGTTAGAGCCGCATGTTATATACCACTAAATATTTAAATAAGTGCCACAATGAGTGTCTCATTCTTTCAGTCCGCTGGGATGCTGTTTCCCTCTCAACCCAGGTAGGCCCTTACAGGTACAGTGGGAAGCCCGCCTCCTAAATGATCTACAAAGAGTTGACGGGGGCGTAAAAGCATCTTCACTTTGAAATAGAAATGATAATCATTTTTTTCTTCAGAGATTATGAGCAACTCCATCCCAGCGTACAACCGCGGGTACCAGGAGACGAAATACCTGACGAGGAATGGAACCAATTCCTATGTTACCCTGTACATCTACACTGAGACCTACTGGTGAGTGTTCTTATCATAGTTACGTAAACGTGTTCAGTTGTGTTCCGCATTGTGTTGGGCTATGGGCCCATTGTTTATTTGTGAGGCAGCGTGGTGGAATCAGGCTCTCGTCAATTTTTGGGCATGTAGAGTTACTGGTATCATCTTAAAGCTTGTTCACTTGTCTTTATTTGGTTTTAAAAAATATCCATTTATCTTGAATACAAGTCGAGAAATTTGCAAATGAAGGAGGTGAGGGTCACGTGTTTTCAGAGGTAAAGTTAGTGAGAAAATGGTTGCCAAAGATTAGTTATTTCCTTAGCTTAAAAGTCCGTGGTAACTAAAACTTGACATTTTTTGTGCCTTTAATCAACGTTTTTAAGAAAATCTACACAGAAATGAGTTCTTTAATGAGCATGAAAGGTTTTGAGCCAAAAAACAAAAATTTGATAAAAATTCACAAACCAGCGGAAAAAATGCAAGTTTCTTCACTTTGATTATTTTGACGAGAGCCTGATTCCACCACGCTGCCTCACATATCAAGAAAGACGAGATGAGAAGGGAGGGAAGTAGTGCTTGGGCAATCTACTTTCTCTATGTCTACCGCCCAGCAAAGCTGTATCATGTATACTGCTGTAAGATCTACTTTCTCTATGTCTACCTCACAGACAAAGCTGTATCATGTATACTGCTGTAAGATCTACTTCCTCTATGTCTACCACACAAAGCTGTATCATGTATACTGCTGTAAGATCTACTTCCTCTATGTCAACCACACAAATCTGTATCATGTATACTGCTGTAAGATCTACTTCCACAGCTTGGGCATGTAGAGTCATTGGTATCATCTTAAAGCGTGTTCACTTATCTTTATTTGGATGGGAAAAAATCCATTTATCTTTAATACAAGTCGAGATATTGGCGAATGAATGAGGTGGGGGTCATTTTTTTTTCAGATGTAAAATTAGTGAGAAAATGGCCGCCAAAGATTAGTTATTTCCTTAGCTTAAGAATCCGTGGTAACTGAACATTTACATTTTTTTATGTACCTTTAATCAACGTTTGTCAGAAAAATCCACACAGAAAATTTAATGAGTTCTTTAATTGGCATGAAAGTTGTTGAGCCAAAAAATAAAAATTTGATTAAAATTCACAAACCTGAGGAAAAACGCAAGTTTCTTCACTTTAATTATTTTGACGAGAGCCTGATTCCACCACGCTGCCTCACATATATCTATTTCGATAGGACTCGATCCGAGAAATAATTTATTTTGTCAGCATGCTTCACTTTAATGTTCTTCCTTCTTGCAGGTTGGTCGTCACTTTGTTAAATAACGGTCAAGGAAATCAAACTTCCAGAATTGAAGCTCCGAAAATGAAAATTGAACCAGCGAGTCGTGACCTGCCCTACACTGTTGGGGAAAACGCAACATTTACGGTACGCTCCTGCGGAAATGGTGATCAAAAGGTACTGTAAGGTTATTTAAGAGGCGGGACCTCCGAGTTGAATGTCCGAAAGGACGACTGAGCCAAGTGGGAAATTCGTGTAAAGTACTTTTCCCAAGTAGCCGTGCAGTCCTGGCATTGAAAAGAATAGGACTGACGTGGATCTAGCTTGTCGTACGAGGCGACTAAATGGCGAACCAGGTAGTGACTCCTGAAACAGAGTCATCCTGCCTCCAGGTCGGGGGTTGAGTCACGAGGCTAACAACCTCTCTCGTAAAAGGAACCTGTTACAGAAACACAAACAAGCAAAAACAATTATAAGGCACGAGGCAGGGGTAGGCCACGGGAAACATGGAGGAGATGTGTGGAAAGGGACATGAGAGAGATGAAGCTCACTTGGAACGAGCTAGGAAGGATGGCCCAGGATAGAGAGAAATGAAAGGAGCTTGTAAGTGGCCTATACCCTGCCAGGGGTGAAAGGGCATTGATGATGATGATGACTTTTCCCAATAACACAGCGTCGGACTGAGCTGAGGCTCGAACCCCCGACCCTGCAATCTCACGATGACGAGTCCGGTAGCCTGACCACTAGGCCAGCGACGCCAGGATGCTTCTGACATTCTCCGAGTTACTTTACGGCATGCCTGTCTGTTTGTTTGTCTCTCTATCTGTCTGTCTGATTGTCTCTCTCTGTCTTTTTCCTTCCCTCTGTCTGTAAATCGGTCTTATGTCTATCCATAAGATGTCTGTCTGTCTGTCTGTCTGTCTGTCTGTCTGTCTGTCTGTCTGTCTGTCTGTCTGTCTGTCTGTCTGTCTGTCTGTCTGTCTGTCTGTGTAAGTCAGTCTGTGCGTCTGTTGTAGTTGTCCGCCTCTCTGTCCCTCCATCTGATTGATTGTTTGTATGTCTACCTCCCTATCTGTCTCTTCATCTGTAAGTCTGTTTGTTTGTCTGTCAGTGTTATGTTTGTGTATGCCTATGTACATTTTCATGCCACTTTGCTTCGATGAATGTCTTTTAGTTAAAAATAACCGGTGTCGTAACATTAGTAATAATAACAATAATAACAATAATAACAATAATAACAATAATAACAATAATAATAATAATAATAATAATAATAATAATAATAATAATAATAATAATAATGACAACGACAATGATAATGCTACCGTAGAAAGGTCAGAATAAGTTGGAAAGCAAAAAAAAAAAATTTTTTTTAAAAGGAACAACAGACGAACAATGAGGCGTGTCAGATTCTCCACAGAAGACAAACTCTGCAGAATGAGATAAAATGTAAGAAAATACAACACTTTTGTAACTCAAAACGACACCAGACCTTTGTGAAAGAGGTGCTTGAAGGAAGGATGTGGGGCTGAAGAGCCAGGGGAAGACAACGCGTAACATGGATGGACAGCAGTATACTAGTAAAACATGACCTGGTCGGATATGGCAGAATGTGCAACGGCAGCTCGCGACCGTGAAAGATAATAATAATAATAATAATAATAATAATAATAATAATAATAATAATAATAATAATAATAATAATAATAATAATAACAAATGTGAAGCGTGATACCAAAATGAGTTACTTCTTAGATTCAAACACTTTGGAAATAGATATATTACGCTTATAGGTGCATTTTTTTGCAATTTATAAGCATGAAAAAACAAAAGGCATGTTATACTTAAAGAATATGGCATCCATATAAAATATACACATTTGACCCAAGTGTCGATTTTTGGCCAATATCACCATTTTGTAGATTGCGAAAAGTTACTCATTTTGTCAGCACTCCTTGCAAATAGCATTTGTATACCGCATGTCCGCACTCGAAAGCAAGCTCTACGCGCTTTACACTATATATTATTACCCCAGCAGACCATAGAACACTCAGAAACATTCTCAGCTTCCCAGACAGCATACAGTGCAAGCAGCTGGTTAAGCGCTCTAACACTAACAAACTGACAAGATCTTTCTCTGTTTATAGCCGGGTACCCATTTCCACCTGTGTGAAAAAAAAGGGGGGGGGGATTCGCGTAGAGTGCCTTTCCCAAGGACACAACGTCGGGCTAGCGGCTCGAACCCCCGAACCCGCAACCTCACGATTACGAGTCTGGTAGCCTAAACACTAGGCCACCTACACTACAACCTCACGATTACGAGTCTGGTAGCCTAAACACTAGGCCACCGGCACTACAACCTCACGATTACGAGTCTGGTAGCCTAACCACTAGGCCACCTACACTACAACCTCACGATTACGAGTCTGGTAGCCTAAACACTAGGCCACCGACACTACAACCTCACGATTACGAGTCTGGTAGCCTAACCACTAGGCCACCGATGGAGGGTCATTATACGTCAACCTCTGAGTCAGAGATGACACCTTCAAGTATCCCGGAATTATTATTGTTATTATTGTTATTATTATTTATCCGATACCATATAAGTTCACCTGACCGGGTCATGAGTCATTTATTTATAGAGGCACCAGCCATCCATGTCCAGGTGCTGTTTTAGCCTCTTTCTTCAATCTGTCTGTGGATTAATTAATGATTTTCCAATTTGGTTCTACTTTTATTCATCATGTATCTCTGGTTTTCAACTTGGAATTGGCAAATAGTTCGCTGTAATAGTCCCCGTTCCTTTTCTCCTCACCCCCCCCCCCCCCACTCACCCCCCCAAACCAGCCTGTTTCTCCCCTGTCTGAGGATTAATCAATATTTTTACTGCATATCTGCATAAGGTGACCTCTACCTTGACCATTAATAATCTATTTAAAGAGGCATCAGCCATCCATGTCCAGGTGCTGTTTTAACCTGTTTTTCCTGTCTGTGGATTAGCATAAAACATTTTTTAATTTTTTAAAATTTTATTTTATTTTATTTTATTTTATTTTATTTATTTATTTTATTTATTCTTTTTTTTTTTTTTTTGGGGGGGGGGGGAGGGTCCAATTTGGTCCAACTTCCATGCACCCTGTATTCATAGTTCTCAACCTGGAAATCGCCTATAAATTGTTGTTATTGCCGACCTCCCCTCTCCCACCTCCAACCTCTCACATACCCCCCTCCCCCCTGCTCCCTCCCCCTCCCCCCTC